CAAGTCTTCAAGACGAGTTCAATATAAAAATGCACGTTGCATAACGACACATGAATCTAAACAACTATGAGATAGTTAGCCGATATAGCAATATTAACAGAAACTTTCTACTATTTTATCCCAAATTATACCATACTGCAATTACCGGTAACACAGTAAACGTGTCCGAATACTAATCTCAATAATACTTATTCATAAATTATACAAACTATTCCACAAAACGAAAGTCTGCATACATTACTATGTCTGGCTAAGACACCGTATCATAAAAAAATAGCTCACAACAGAAACTGCTATCAATGAGCGTACACACCCGTTTGCAATGAGTTAGTGCGTTCATTCGGATCAATTAATTTAGCGACGCTTACATCTTATTAAATAATTCAAAAGCAGCCGCCCGTTTGAGTTTCCCATTAGCGTCTATTTACGAAGACAGCGGTGCGTGGTCGCTATTTATTTCCGGAAGACGAGGGCATAACCCGTGCGCCCGCGAATTCCAAATAAACAAATTAAGCTAGAATCGAAAATTTCGACAGTGGCAATCTACTTAGTTAGGCTAAATAGAATGAATTTGGAAGAATGGAACGTCACATTATAATTATGTTAGCTTTTAAAGTCCACTGAAGAAAATGATTGACAAGTTATTTCTAGCAAACTTATGTAACAAACATTTCTTAATGCGACAAGTAATGCAAGTCAATAGCTGTATCATAATTGAATATAATGCAAACCTTTGTCAAGTGTGCTATCAAGTGTGCACAGAATACACATTGTCAGCCACTTAGTCTAAACAAACATGCATTTTTCAAATTAGCACTTGATAAAATTGTATATAAGGTAAGTAAAATATATGAATGACATATGAACTGTAGCCTATTGGTAAACACAGCAGGAAAATGCCAAATAAATTATGCAACAGTTATCAGAAGATAAACATAGATAATGATATGGACAAGCGTACAAATTTATTTACTGTGCATGTCACAGAAGGCCATACCGGGACAAAATATTACATGAACAATAAAATTTAGCTAGCACATATGTCTGACGAGCGATCTCACCTGTAAAACTCCATTTATTATGACGTAGTTGTTCAAGCGTTAGACTTGACTGTAATAAATGTAGTTTACACATTCAGGGTTTAAATCCCACACTCATGCAATGCCAAACTGTAAAGATGACGATTGTTTCAAAAATAATAGATTCCGACTATTAGTGGCGCGTGCGCAGTACCTTGTTTGGAGCAGAAATTGAGAATAAGTGCCGTCAAGAAAATGCGCATTTCAATTTTGATTACTGTTGATATTGTACTAATATTATAGTACACACACATAGTGCTTCTTGCAATTATTTTCTGGCAAACTACTGTAACCAATTAACTTTTGTGTTTTTTTAATTACTTCTTATGTTACTTGTTCAAAGCAATATTACAAAGTCTTGCGAATGAAGAATTACCGATCGCAGCAGCACAATCAAAACCTGGTAGGCTACACTAAACAACTACATGAAAATATTCCTACACTCTTCATTTCTAATCTAATGGAATCGTCAGTTGATAAATAACTCCACAGTCAATAGCAATTAACTGCTGCCATTCCAGAAATGTTTTAAAACACAGATTGACTCAAAACAATGGAAGCTGAAGATAAACCATGTTTCATTAAATTGTTCAAGATAAAAAAAATTCGTCGAAAAGACTAGCTTCGTTAATTGCCAAACTAGTTCCCTAATAATAGCTTATAATAAATACTGAAATTGCCATTTTACCGCATCATGTCAAGCCAAAATCCTACCAAATCAATCAAAATACAGTAATAAAATTCAAGTCACACATCAACACCTGAGATAATGAATCGTACTTTTCTATATCATATATTTACCAAATGTAATCAGAAGCAAACAATTGCATGACTATGATGACAATTATTCAGATCTGAATGACCCCTATATACAGATATAATGGAGTAAATATAGCAACATGATAACAGTCACATGTTATTGACAAACAGAAAAATGCCAGATAGGGTCTAGTATAATATGAAATAATAAAACATTACCCAATTATTGTGAGAACATCATATTGTTTTTCAAATATCTATGGTTTTTTGATGTCATCCATACCCCATAATACTGTAATAAATAAAGAGTAAAACTACAAACAATTGGACTTTCTCATTACAGCATTAAGAGATTATGTAGACAACCATTATAAAAAAAAAGAATCTACAAATCAACAAAGTTAATTCTATGTTTGATAAATCTTTAAGCTATTAAGAGGCGTAAATTCCACATGCAGACATATACTGATATAAGAAAGAAGACATATCACTGCACTGCCTGACTTCTGTACCGATACTGCAATATTACTGCAGTAAAACAAAATTGGGAGTCTCAGATCTTCATGTTTTTTCAACTTTGTACAGTTGTAACTGGTACAGAAGTACAAGAAATCATATTCTATTGATGAAGCAATGGTAGAACTGTAGAATGCTGTAAAGGTCGATGCCTGCAGTACCACTGGAGTACTGATAATACACAATCAGATAATACTGTACCGGTACTACCGGGTATTACTGTATTGATTGAAGGGTGTCAGACAGCCAATGACAGAATGCAGGAATGAGGAGTAGGCTAAATGAGCCAACAGCTTCATGCAGTCATGGCTTTGCTGCCCTGAGCGAGGCTATTCACCCAGCACCTTACCTGCTCCAAGCATACTTTTAACCGAATTAAACGAATTTCACACTTTCCCATTTCTTCTTTTGGTTGGATTCGCGTAAAAACTTACCAATTTCGGTTCTTGCAAACAAGTCCGCAAGGAAGGAGAGTGAAAATGCCACAATCCGCAAACCAAATCACGGAACTTTCGTATTTGGATTGACTCATCCGAGCGCAACCACCTATGACAATAAACACTGCTCTACATCGCCACCTCGCGATAAATATTTAAAATAAAAGTTCATAAGTGCTCTTGGTCCCCCCAACTGGAAGTTTCCCGGAGAGGCCAATTTTGGACACGTAGTGGACATAACGATCGTTTCAATATTATGTTGTTTTTATTGTTTGACACAGAATACCACACCTAGTGCTTTCCGCTTTCCTCTTCGAATACTGGACCAATTGCTTTGAAATTTTCAGTGGTTGAAGTTAAAATTTTTCCCCAGAAGGCTATCACTTTTATTCATTTTAAATATATCTGTTAGCTCTGTGAGATTTGTTTTTGTTTGCTATGACGTCATTGAACGTTCTGCGGATATCGGACGCCATTTTGTGTACTACTGTACTGTACTGGGCGCGGCGGTGTGGCTCAACGGGCTAAGCGTTAGGAATACGCTCGCCATCGCACCTCTAATTACTCTGCGTGGGTTCGCAGGTTCGAATCCCATGTAGGGATGGTTATGTGCGAGAGGATTGCTGGACTCCTCGCCGTCGTTGGGTGGTTCACGTAACCGCTGGTCGGTTACGGCTTCCTCCACCACCAAGTCCATGCTTCCGAAAACAAACAATACAGTAAAAACTAATCCCATACCCGACTTGGAATGGTAACCGGACGAGAGGCCGTGGTTCGCCATATGGATAAGCCGTCTTATCGGCTTTCCTCTCCCCCGGGATAAATATGTAAATCCTATCCTATTCTATCCTGTACTGCTTCGCTTGGTGCGAATATATTTGTAGACTGTAATCTGACGGTACGGTAAACCGTACTGTACTGCGAACAGACGTGTCCATATATTTGGGCGTAGCTCTCTTGTTTTTGTATATTCCGGCAATGAAGACCATTCGATAATATAAACAACAACAACGTAATGCAGAAGAGTTTTTTGGGATAAGGGGTCGGAGAAACCTCCATTAGATCAGGGGTCGGGAACCTTTTTGGTCAAGAGAGTCATAAAAGGTACATATTTTCACTGCATTTTCATGCTAGCCATATAGCAAATCTTCACTTGATCAGGTCTGAAATTTCAATGTTAATATACATTTAATGTGACTTCTGATGCTCTATGTTGTCGCTGCGGGCCTTGAACGGCTGCTTACATGCAGCACAAGTATGAAGGTGTGCTATCTGTATATTTTTTGAAATTTATTATATATACATATGTATATATATACTAAATGGATTCAATAATGCTTATCTAATGATCTAACGGAAGCTTACAAATACCTTTGCAAAAAGAAATTAATTATATATATATATACTAATAATTTTATGGTGAAATGTCGGGTAATGATCTTCTATTGAATCAAGTGTGTATAGTGAGTGATATAAACTAGCGAATTGAGATGGGTGCTTACGGTTGATTGCAATATTTTTGGACCATTCAGAATTTCGTAAAAATTTGTTTCAAATTCGAGTGAAAGACTGTGTTTTTATAAGGAAAAATCAAAATTCTGGTTATTAGAAAATTTCAGTTTTGCTTCAGTTTATTGTTTATTATTGGTGTGTTAGGAAAATTTGTAAAAGTCGTCAAACTTTATAGTGACAAATCCGTGGTTGAAAATGTCCTCGGATCGTTTATTTTTCCCGACTGCATGAATTTGAATATCAATTTTTGTATTCATGAACTCACTGCACGTATTAATCACGTATCGTATATATTCTAAAAAACAATTATCCTAAAGAGAATCCGATATTGATGGTAAAGGTAAAGCGTCACACATGAAACTGAAAAAAAAGCAAAATAAATGCAAATGTTTCAAACAGATTTTCGAACGCGTGCGAAGATTTCGTGCAGTCACGGATCCGCTCCCATCTATATGTGGACTTTCGATACATTCAAATCAACATTAAATTAGCTTTTGTCAAGTATAAATGACGTACCGCACTACGCAGTCGGTGGTTCTCAGTCGTGACCGGTGTCCCGCTACGTGATTCTATTCTAGATCTTAATAATATATAGATAACTGTTTCCGCACACAGGCCTTAAAATAACTGTTACCGCCATTGACATTTTGCCCCAAGGCCATATAGTTACATTTTCACCGTATTTAAGCGATCTATTTCTAGTTTACTCTCATACCAAATTTTGAGCGAAAATCAGAATATAGAGTGAACAAAAAATATGCTTAGATTGATACTATTGAGTTTGTTGCTAACGGCCGTGGTTACTGGACAAAAAGGCAGGCGGGAAAGAGAATGCTCCGTTGTTAAAGCTGGATACCAATTTTCATTCGATTTGTATAATGAACTGGCGAGCAACAATAAAGGAGCAAACATCTTTTTCTCGCCATACAGCATATCTACCGCAACGTCAATGCTTATGCTCGGCACTGATGGAAAAACGGAAATCGAACTGAGATCTTTTCTTCGACACGGAATTTGTAACCACGAAAGCATGCGCATACATTTGGCAAATAAATATATAAGCAAATTAATGTCGGAACCGGTAGCCGATATGTCACTCACAGTGGCGAACAGGCTTTTCCCAGATACAAAATTCAACTTATACGCTAACTACACTCAAAAGTCTGCAGAATTCTACGGTTCGGCAGTTGAATCCATTGACTTCAAAGGGCAACACGAATTATCCAGAAAAACCATCAATGACTGGATAGCAGAGCGAACCAATGATAAAATACAAAATATGTTACCTGCTGGTAGCATCACCCCCATGACAGAAATAGTTTTAGCCAACGCTATATATTTCAAAGGAACATGGAAGACGAAATTCAATCCAAGATCGACCACAGATGGTTTGTTTCACGTTGATGAAAATACCGCTACCTTCATTCCAATGATGAGAACCAAAGCGAAGTTCTCGTACGCCACAAACGCGTTATTCAGCATAATTGAAATGCCCTATATCGGAGACGCAGCGTCGATGGTCATCGTTTTGCCGAGAGACAGATTTGGCCTTAGCAGCATTGAAAAGATGCTGGACGGTAACTTTTTAAGGGCACTTACACAATACGGAGAAAAAACGGAAGTAAGCGTAACGTTACCAAAATTTACAATGACTTTCAGCGCAAATTTGGAAGACACCTATCAATCAATGGGAGTGGAATCAATTTTCTCGAAAGCAGCTGACTTCGGTAGAATGACAGGTTGGTATTCAAGGATGGATAGAACCTTTCACAGAATTAATCAGAAATTAGATGTTTATTGGTTCATTATGATATGACTACCGAGATCAAATATTCCACTGATACCACATTCCAAAAACATGTTTCACTTTCTCTTAAATTTCTTCGGCTAGTCTTACTATGTTCAATAACGTAACTCCAATAGTGTAACATTGAGCAACATCTTCTTGTTTGCTGGTTCTCTTTAATATTCTGGTGATCATTATAACGTTTTTGGTTTGAATAACAAAATATAATAGTATAGACGTCAAGACATTTTTGACGTAGTTTCGAATGCGATTCACGCAAATAGGCTAATTTAATTTATAATTTATGTCGTCGTTAAGTCATTAATTTTATTGTATTCGCGTACTTTATTTTTGGTAAGCTGGAGGCAATATATATATATATACATAGACTAAACCGTACAAGTTACGGGTAATCAGATTGATTATTAATATGTATACAAGACAACCTTTTTGCTTTATTAATAGAATTTATTCTACTTTTAGATTCAGAGGACTTTTTCATATCCAATATTAGACACAAAGCATTCATTGAAGTCAATGAGGAAGGTACCGAAGCTGCTGCAGCAACCACACTAACTGGAGCCAGGACGCTTCGTCGTTCGCCAAATTTCATTTGTGATCATCCCTTCATATTCTATATTGTACACAAGAAAACCAATGTAATCCTTTTCCTGGGAAGATACGTGACACCAACAAAGTAAAGTGTTTTGTGGTGACGAACATTTTTCAAAGATAATGAGGGGCGTGTCATGCTTTATTGAACTAAAAATTAAACTGAACAGCATGTCATGTTTTCAATATTTTCTTGGATAAAAAAAATTCGCGGAAATTAATTGACGATTTCTGCAAAATGCTGATTCTGTGTAGTTCAACAAATTATTACCTCCTGATTTAGAAGACATCATTGGCACAATTCAATTTAACCATGACTTACATTTTGAGCTGTCACAAATGAGAAACCATTTTTTTTATAAGTACTAATCAGTGGTTAAAACTACGCCACAGGGATTAGTGCCAGCTGTAATTGGTCAAGTATAGCGTTTGTTGTGTACATCGAACCTTGTAATTTTACTTTATTCCTTTTTATTATTATTAAGAATGATCTGTTTTAAAATAAAATTAAATATATATAACACTTTATGATTGGTCGATAATTCGTAGTAATTGTTTCCCATTAACGACGTATTTTCGCGGAAGGCTGACACCAGGATAAAAAGGGCTTCTGAAAATATGTGCGTGGGTTGTTTGCATTGAAAATGCGTGGTTGTATTCTTTCGAGGTAACAAAATACAGGCAATAATATAGACCCTATACCTACTTCATCGCTGTATCTCATGAAACTTTATAGCCTATCTATATTTACCAGCTATTATTTAGGAAATACAAGAAGATTAGCAAAGATGAAAGTCACTTTTGCCAAAATTTTCGGTTATAAAAAAGAAATTGCATAAAAAAGGGAGAATTTGTTTCCTAACTCTGCTTTAAAAAAGGATGACTCAACGTTTTAATCGAAAGCTACTATCCATCCTGGTCGTGCTATAAATATTATGACGCATTCTTTAGGTTGAATTGTTAGTGCATGGTCGACGCACGTACATTACTCAATTAAAACCCGTTTTCTTGCACGATACCTTGCATGAAAGTGGAAGCGATATTTCAATTTGTTATTGGTTTTCTTAAAACTATCTTTATGATGACACAAACAAGCAATTAATTTCTCACAAAGAAAATAATCAGTAAAAACCAATAACTTCATACTCTGTTATTGTCATTTAATATTGACCATTTCCGACTTTTTCCATATAAATAGTTTCGAAGCTTAAATCAATATCAACGCACGCTGGAATTCTAATTCCCTGGGGGCATGTGAGTTTCATAATGATAAATTTTAGCATTTTGCGACTAATACCACGTTTTGTTTCCATTCGCCATTTTTAGTCATTTGGAATTCAAATCTTATCTTAAAACATTGTCAGTTGGTGACCGTGGCCTGTTGCTGACTTTTGTATTTCTGTATGATGAAATTCTGATTATCGCCAGAAATATGGGGCGTTCACTAACATGCTGTAGAAACCCAACCACATTGTAAACATGCAGGATTGCTGAGCAAACGTTCTCATGGAATGCGCCGTCGTCCGCCTTTTTATATTTATATTACAAGAAGGCGAAATTTTTCGTTTACCATGCACTGATAGGATATGTTTAGACGTCCCTCTTCGATACATCCATTGTTTATCGGATTTAATTTCATACCAATATCATTAAAATCCATATTTCACACCAATCAGATAAGACAAATTGAAAAGGTTAATAATATAACAGTGCTGTACTGAACCACGCCCTCATGATCCATTAAGTAATAAATTAAAATTTGAAAATTGCTTTATTGACAGAATAAAGAATGTCATATTCGACTGTATAAAACAAGTTTAGTGAATGTAGCGGGTTTTCCTAACAGTATATATAAAATTACGATGATAATCTTACCTTTGGGCTATTTTAACGTAAGCAACGAAAACAACTTCTTACTTGAATAAAATTTTCAAATATGACACAAATTTAATACCTATTTGAAGTAAATTACAGCGCATCAGCATAATAAAAAGCGGATTTATAGACCAGCATTCCACAAACAAGCAACGTTCGATTATATTGTATTTTTGCCTGATCTTAAACATTTTTTTGAATTTTATAAAGCTTGAAGTATTAATAAAAATACATCAATATTGGGTTAAACCGCAATATTTAATAATGTTTTCATCAAAACAATAATTAATATTTGAATGAGACGAATTTAGAAGAAATAGGCGGAGTTGTTCTAGAAAGAATATAATCGAAATACTTTACACTATGTACATGTATACGGGGGGTACAATAAAGGGACATACTAACACGAAGTACATACCTTATATATATGTATTATGTACTTATTTGAAATCCATGATACGTAAATGGTGTAAATCGCACTAGAGGAAGAATGATTCACTTTTTCAAGAGTCGAGAAAAATAACATCTGCAGTGACGTTGCATGAGGAAACGCACTGCATCACGTTTTTGTTTTCGATTCCTAATAATTTTCATCGAACTTTCACCGTTTTCAAATTTTGTTATTGTAGAAATTCTAGATCGAAAAAAACTATTTTTGGTGGTCTCGCGGGTTTAAAATTTTAAACCAAGTCTAGAAAGCTCTACACCGGTTTTAATACAAGCGATAATTAAAATTTCGGCGATTTTTCATTATCCTAGTGCGACAACGTGCGGAATTGAGTCAATAGTTTCAATCAGTTTAAGAACGATGATATATAATAGAGTGAAGAAGACGCATAACGTCAGCCTTGCAATTCAGTGTAAGACTTAAAAAAAACTTCAAAATTGAACTAATGCACATATTTTTGCTTTAACCTACTGGAACAACCAACTGGCGAGATGTAACGGGAGAGAGAGATTTAGGGGTCGGTCGACGTAGTTTACCTTGCAGTCTTGCCCGCCCCTCCCGATTATATTCTATAATTGTTCTTTTCCATTTATTGTAATTTTACATTTCTTGATCTATTCGGAAAATAAATCCTTATCTATCTATCTATCTATCTAACCAGCTGATCCTTAAACGACCAAGTATTAGTTACATCGACAGAGTCATTATCTCTTGTTTGTTCGGTGATATATTTGATAGTGTCATCGTCATCTACGCCAAACACAAGAGCCCATATCAGCGAGTCTTTCTTTGTTCCCCTTTCCGTCTTATTCCCAAAGAAGTTTCCATCATTGCAATAATAAACTTGAACTATTTTAGAGGAGTGTCGAGTAAGGTGAAGCGCAAGAAAACTGTAGTCCGTGATGAAAAAAGGGAGAGTTCGATCTTTCCAGTCTTTTCCGTATGAATATTCAATGAATTGTTCCGAACAGTGCGAGGCCCAATTTCCAAATGGTAGCATGCTTCGATATTGGTCCAATAGAACGGCGCTTGATATGTAGACCAATTTTCTACCCAACGTATAAGAAATGTTCTGAAATCTTCTGAAAACTTTGTCGTTCAACCATCTTTTACGCCTATGTAAGATATTAGATTTAGATAAGGTGAATTAAGCAAAGGATGAACACGAAAGCCAAAACAAACTAGTATAAAATCGTTTATAGTACTGGTAGTCTGACCACCAAGTCACTGAGATTTGATCACGGAACCACTGCACGGAACGCAATTTTTAATTTTGACACAAAACTCATCACACAAAACTTGGAAATGAAATACTCTGATACCCTTTATTATCATCTGAGATATTGGAATATCAATTTTCACATTCGCACGAAAAGTATTTGGCAAACCAATATAAGTATTGTAAAAAGTAACTGAATAATTTTGAACACGTTCACGGAAATGATCACAAAATAGCTAAGTTAATTTCTTATAAGGCAAAATTCAATTACCTGATATACTTGTTCCATCCTTCCATATCAATCCATTTCATTCGTGGGTCCTCCCTTTCGCTGTAGTCACAAGCATTGACGACTGTCAATCCTCCAACCATGCTTGTATTATTGATAACAAGATCTTCAGCCTTCGAATGAAGTCGTATAGGTTAGAACGACCACAATAACTAATTATAATTAAAAAAAAAAATAAGCACAAAAATGGTTGGAGGTTACATCAAACCTAAAATCCCGACCTTATGGCAAATATGCCGGCATGGAAAATGTTGATCATAAGGGGTGTGGGCAGGCTTGTCCATGGGGATGGGGTTACAATGAAAAACGTCGCATGGGATGAGACCGGAGAGCACACATTTGTATTTCCCATGAGACACGAAAACCGCACGTGATTTTTAAGGAAATGATGATAACACAATTTGTTATGAATTTCGTGTCCATCTATTTGAGCATAGCTCTCTTGTTAGTTATAAAGAGCAAATCATATTCAGCATTGACAACATACTTCGTGAAGGGGCTGATGGACAACGGTATGATGGATTTGAATATGAAGTTAACAAAGTCCGTAAATTTTGTTGTTTTGCATGTCTCTTCGTACATGTAGTCTTATTTAGTTGACGCTAAACCTAAATTTAACATTTTTTATTGAATTTTATTCTAATGGGAATCTCATGGGATGGGATGGGACAGGCATAATTGGTATGATGGGAATGGGACAGGAAAATATTTCCCATGAACAAGCCTGGGTATTAGACGACGTTTATGCACGTTTTTCACAACTTTATATATTACCTGAATATATGCAAGTTTTCCAAGTCCATTCTTGTATGCAAACCGGTAGTAGTGCTCAAAATAATATTTCAAAAATTCATGACGTTTCTTGTCATTCGGATACATCTGCTTGTATACTACGTCATTTTGATATGCTGTAATGCATACGTTCAAGAACGACTTCCAGTCTTCATTATTTCCATCCGAGAACACGAGTTCTAAACTGATTTTGGGTCATGATAACAACTCTTATATCTTCTCTAGAGAGTACATAGCAGCAAAAATGGATAATGCCCTAACGGAGATGAACGCTTCAAGTAGTGTTCTAGGAAAGTGTTTCAACGCGTTTTTTATTTGTTATAGAATAAAGTCAGCGCACCTAAAATTCTATGTCAAAAACTTGTGAAAAAACTTTATTATATATCTTCTTATTATTGAACGTGATTTCATAACACTCTCAGGATGAAAGTCGAGGTTTGCCAACACCTAATTACATTGACTGCTATCTTATAGCAAGGTAATTATGTCCCATCCAGCATGATGTAATCAAATTTTAAATAATTGCATATTAGAGTAATCGAGGTCATCAATGGCAATGTTCCGAGATCAGATTCCCTCCTAACATTGTGCTAGAACGTCATATCAAAATGATGACTCTCACCTGGTGTCTTGGTCCCGATGTAGCAACTGAGTATTAGATGGCTGAACCATAGCAATAGAAGATATTTTCCGTATACTATTTTTGTATAAAAATCTTGCGATTCCTCTGATCATTGTTGAATCCTATGTTATTGTCGCTGTAGAACTAGTATTCAGAAGATCACGAATTACGATATTGGAACACGAGTGAACCACTAAGCAGCTGTTTAATCAACGATCAACCTGATACAAAGCGACTTATCAAATTGTCAGTAACTAAAATGGACTATATCTTGTACAGATACGTAAGCCAACCAAAAAACTGAACAGCTGACCATAAAAGCAGATTTCCAAGACGTTGTCACGCGTACAATGTTGCGTCGGGTGTAAAATTTCACGCCAATAGCCAAGATGACAAAATCTATGTGTCCACCACACTGTTTTATTCACGGTCGGAACCTCGACAATAATCAATGACTGATCACATCGCGGTAATCAAGCGATTATGTACCATTGTATTAACAGTAGGTTTAAGTAACTTTGTTTCCGTAGTCTCGGATTTAGGATAAAGTATTTATATTTATCCAATGGAGAAAATAGGTAAGTTCTGGATTCTTTGCAGGGTAAACTAAGAAATGTCGCCCGATACCCATTCCAGGCTAGCAAACCATATTAGATTGGACTCAAAGATTAGGCACCCAACAAACAACCAATGTACCATGTGTAGTGAACCACTCCTGGTGACATTAAGTTCAGCTCTACTTTTGCCTGTAATTAGTCCCGCAGCATTCTAACATGCTGACCCAAAAACATAAAAGTTGGTCACCGACAATAAGGGTCTCAACACTGAACCTGGCGTGACAACCGTTGAGAAAAAAACTAATTAGAATTTGAAAAAAGCGGGAGTCAATTAGAGCTGAGTCAATCTGATATCAGGGTAGTGCCAAACTCAAGAAATTTGTAAGCAATTTTTTTATGACAATTGTAAGTCTAGAACTAGATTACGATATTGATCCGAGGTGGTTCCATTATCTTTGCACCCACGTACATTTGAACACGTAATTTGCACCTGCATACTTTTGCACCCATGTATATTTGCACCCACGTACAATTGCACCCACGTACATTTGCACCCACAGACATTTGTACTCATGGACATTTGCACACACGGACATTTGCACCACGTACGTTTGTACCCGCGCAAATTTGCACCTGCGTAAATTTGCACCCGTGCACATTTGCACCCGCGTACATCGGCACCCACGTACTTTTGCACCCTCTTACATCTGCACCCACGTACAATTGCACCCGCGTACATTCTCATCCATGAACATTTGCAACCACGGATATTAGCATCTATAGACACTTGCACCCGCAAATATTCACAAGTCTTTGAGGTAAAAGAGGTTCCATTGCCATTTGCGCCAAAATACAGACTTCCTAATGTTATGAATAGTAAGGAAGACGAACTCACTGCAAACCCGCACGCAATAATGCAAAAAGTAGGAAAGTGCTGTAAACAACTTGTTCCATATACATCTTGCTTTTGCCAAGTCGAGGTCGTTTCTCGCTATCTGTTTTTGGACACGTGAGTGGAGCTATGGATCGTTTTCATATTTTTGGTAATCTTGTTCCTGTTGGTCTTCTTTTTCTTCGTATCGTTTTGAAAAAATCGCTTTACTCTTCGACTACTGGACCAAATGCTTTGAAATTTTCAGTGGTTAAAGATTGCTGTTTTTGCCAGGACGCTTTTACTTTTATTTTTTATTATTGAACACGGAGTGGACCTATGAATCTTTTTACTTTTTTATATAACGAAATTCTTGCTTTCTTAACGGGGAATGACCATTGAGGTTATATACACCTCATTGGGAATGGCGAACAGCGCCGTAGGTACCGGTAGCATCAAAGGTAAGGACTGTTTCTCTCTGATTAACGTGTGCATTTATTTGAGCATTGCTCTCTTGTTCTCTTATCTATTCTTCTTTCTCAAAGCACCTTTCTCCAGTCTTGTAAAATTGGTTCAACACTGACTTGATTAATTTATGTACGACCAGTTTTCTTCGCCATCGTTTTCTAACCACCGTACATTCGACTACGTTTGCGTTATTTCGTCAAAGGAAAATGACCGACAAAAGTGGGCTAGGATTATAACTAGCAATGGAAGTGAAAACGTAGAGACCCTCCCCAGGGATAAGGGCTCCTTAAAATTTGTAATCCGTCTTCATTTCGAATATACTTATAGTTGGTAATTAAAGTTTGTCTGAAAAACGGTTATTCGCGAACATGGCTGGGGGTGCGTTCATGGGGTAAATGCATATGCGTGTTAATGTTTGTGGGTTCGAATGTTTGTGGGTGCAAATGTCAGTGGGTGCCAATATCCTCGGGTACAAATGTACGCGGGTGAAAATGTACGCGGGTTCAAACATCCGCTGGTGCAAATGTCCGTGGCTGCAAATGCCCAAGGTGCAAATGTCCGTAGGTGCAATTGTACAGGGGAGCAAATGTACGTAGGTGCATATGTCCGTGAGTGCAAATGTTCGCGGGTGCAAATGTCCGTGGGTGCTAATGTACATGGGTACAAACGTCCATGGGTGCAAATGTCCGCGGGTGCAAGTTATATGCGGGTGCTAAAATCTATGGGTGGAAATGTCGTTGGGTGCAAAAGTAGGAAGTGCAAAAGTCTTGGGTGCAGTTTACGGATGCAAATGTACTTCTGCAAATTTATGTGGGTGCAAATGTGCTGTCACCACCTGAGGTACAGTCAGTTTATCATAATTAGGCATGATGGGAATATGCGTTAAGCAGGTTAAGGACTAATGTATTCACATATTTGCTCATCACAATTAAATTTTATGAGGCTTTATTTTTTTAGATAAATAATTGCAAATTAATAAATATTTATACATTTTATTCAGTTCATTCATTCACTCCTAATTCATAGAAAATAGATTAAAAAAATGATTATATTTATTTCTGACTATAAACAATAAAATACACAACGTTTAGTAAAAAAACAGCCCCTACTTGATATATTTATCCCATCCTTCTTTATTGATCCATGGCATTCGTGTATCCTCATGCTCGCTTTCATCGCAGCCAATGACAATGGTTAGGCCCCCAACCATATTAGTAATGTTAGAAGCCAAATTTCGTTCCTCGAAGGATAAATATTGTTAAAAATACACGTTTCCTAATCAGATGATTGTTGCTATTCTTATATGGTCGAGAAATGTGTAATAATCACCTGAATGTATACAAGTCTTCCTGGATCGCTCTTGCATGCAAACCTGTAGTAATGCTCAAAATAATATTTCCAAAATTCCCGACGTTGTTCAGAATCTGGATACATCTGCTTGTATATGACGTCATTATGATATGCCGATGCACAAATATTCAAGAACGACTTCCAGTCTTCAATATTTCCATCCGACAGTACGAGTTCTAGACTGGTATAATCAGGAATGAAAGTAATTTTAATGTTACATATTTATATATAGATCTACTTGAATGACTCAGAGAAATATGGGTTCATATTGTTTGGGGCTAATGGTCACAAGCACGTCGCAAAAATCATTTTATGATAGAATTTGTCATCGTATGTATATAACGACAGAACAGTTAACAAGAGTAAGAGAAGAATGCTAGGCTGTATGAAAACGAACGTCGCGCATCAACAGAGTAGAGTAAGGCAGTCGAGCAACACAGTATAAAAGTGTTCTTCCAACTGAAATAAAAAAGTTTGCGGTGAATTTTTGGTTCCTATGTGACTGAGAGATAACCTTGTTGTGATTTCTTCTTTATTCGAGTATAGAAAACGTGAAGTGGTTTGGTCCAATTTTTTCGTAGAAAATAAAAAAATTACAACAACAACAAGTACATCAACAATAACAGGATTTTTACTTACGTTCCGACAAAGCCGCGTATATTGGGCGTTTTTTAAAGATTTCGGTCTGGTCTGACGACACAGCCACGTGGTAGCACAATATTTTCGGAAATAGCAAAATGTTGGATGGAATATCCAGTGCCATAGGATTCGGAACAAATTTGAAACAAAATTAAAGAAATAGTCTTTAAGCTGATTCAACCATGTTGAAGTAGAGAAAAGTACCATTGGACCATTAGTTTCGGGAAAGAACTTGTTGTCCCAATAAAAGTTGTCACCCTAACAGCGACAATTTAGCAAAATAATCTATTTGTACATTTCGTGCCCAATGAGTAATCGGGAAAACATTCCTATATTCGTCAATAATACACATTTGCTTGTGCTTACTGCTCAAAAAATTACTTTCTAAAGGCGCTCACCTGGTTTTCTTATCTTGGCATAGGAGTTGAGTATTCGATTTCATCGTCGAGAAATAACGGGAAAATTACCAGTTATTCAGCTTGCTGGAATTACTGGCAATTGTCCTCAACATTTTTGGATATATGTGAATTGAATGGCTAAAGTTGGTCCTATGTCAATAACTTATGCTGAAACTGAACATAATGAGTGATATGAGAACATAGTAGTATTAAATGATTTGTTTGATTCACATTATGATGCCGGAATGCAAAACAAATAAATTCATTCTGTTTTAGTATCCTAGTGCTTGCTTCCTTCTGTTCCTATCATGTTGTATTAAACTTTAATGACGGCACCATACGAAACTACTTTAAACTGACAACATACAAAACATTGATTTTATTTTCCAAATACACTCCACATAATTTCAACTCAAAATAGTGTCGAGTGGGAGTAAATCGCAGTTGAGGCATATAGAGAATCGTGGTAAACAAAATGTTAAGGTGTGAAGGTTCGACTGGTACCTTCACGTTCTGTTTCTGACAGTGTAAGTTCCCGTCTATCTACGTTATTTAGTGTACCTGTCTCTATTCAAAGAGGTTTAATTAAATGACGAACATTTTTTGAAATATAATTTAAAGACTTTCAAATACCCTGAGTGATAGGTTACTGCTTATTTTACCAAAAATATCCTTCAACGTTGACCTTAACTCAACTGTGAAGTATACAAGAGTTGTTGACCAAAACATGAAAAGATGTCAAAAGTGATGATTAATTACTGACACCTTTTATGACTGACCTACGTGATCGTAGTATTGTTCTCGGATACAATTGGCCAACTTTAAATTACGAACAATAATAAAATAATTGACTGTATCATGTTTCTTATGGCCATTCAAAATGATTTGATAAAATCGATTGACAAGTGTTTATCCAGGGAATGGTCTAGCCCAGGGGTGGGCAACCTTTTTTGGCTCGCGTGCCAAAATTGGCCAAATTTAACGACAAAATTCTTCCGCGTGCCGACCAAAAATAAAAACATTTCTTTGCTACTTTCGAAACAAAGATACACAATAATAAACCTTTTAAACATGTACAGACAGATTCACTATTCGAGAAAATATAAGTCCG